TTGGACCTAGGGCATAACACCTACAGTGACTTGTGAGAGACCAGTGGTTTGAGGCGTGGCTCACATGAGGTCTTCATTAAGAGTACAAAGTTTACACTTGGGTACACAGCTCAACTCATAAACATTGGGTTGGTAGTGGTGTGTGCTCCTCTGTGTTCACTTTCTGCACACTTTGTTGTTGGAAGTTTGTTTTCTTTGTTGTTGGCCTTTTATTTCTTGATGTGATTACTTGTCATGTTATGATATCAAGATCTTTTAATTTACTATTTATTTGAAGTCCATCCATTTTATGTTTTGATTTGCAATTTCGACTTTTAATCTTCTTAAATTGTTTTTTAAAGATTTTTTTAGATGGTTTATGACTTAACGAGTATAATTTAGTATTTTGCACTTTTTAAGTTATTTTATTGGTTCAATATCTGATGTGTCTCCTGTTTCCCCTGATTATAGCGGCTAGGGCAATGGAAGTTCTGAACTTAACTTCTCTGAACAACAAGTCGATCCGAATAATGTTTTCTCATCCAGATCCCAGTGTTCTTAAAAGTGAAGCTGGAAACATATTTATAAAGGTATTTGTGCTCAACTGCTTTGCTTCTTTGGTTATATCTGACTCGACCTATTGGAAGCTTTGTTACTTTTTGAATTTGCATGTTATTTCCTTTAAGTTTGGTATATGTCTCCTCTTTTTTATTTCATCATTCTTTTGTGTTATTCATTTCATGCCAGCTGATCTATAAGGTTGGTTACTGGGAATTTGTTTAGGTGGAGTTTTATCTACATAATCTCGTGCGTTTGCCAAGAAGGCAAGAACTGAATAAGGGTTGTTTTAAACTCCGTGTTTGGTATAGGTGATTATATACCTTGCTCCCTGCCATTATTTTACCCATGTATTTTTGTATTGGCATGTATTATGAATTGTTGCTATGGGTAGTTCAGGAGAACTTGCATGGTTTTGTTGTTGTTTCTGTATAGCATTGCTATATATATGGTCCGAGTTCTTTGAGTCGGAGGTGTTCTTTTATTTGTCACAAAAAAATAAAATAAAAATGATCCATTGTTTTGCATTTGGTTGTTTGCGCTTGTCTTTTTATTTGGTGGAGTAATTACAAATTTATTGATATTTCCCATGCAGAATTTGGACAAATCAATTGATAACAGAGCACTGCACGACACTTTTTCAATATTTGGAAACGTACTTTCTTGCAAAATTGCGACAGACCCTACTGGCCAATCGAAGGGCCATGGTTATGTACAATTTGATAATGAAGATTCTGCACAAAATGCTATAGCCAAGTTGAATGGCATGCTTATAAATGATAAGCACTTGTATGTTGGGAATTTCCTCAGTAAGCAGGAGAGAGAAAACAAATTCAACAATATCTACGTGAAAAATCTTGCAGAGTCAACTACAGATGAAGATCTAAAGAAAATTTTTGGTGAACATGGAGCAATTACAAGTGCTGTAGTGATGAGGGATGCTGATGGGGAGTCGAAATGCTTTGGCTTTGTCAACTTTGAGAATGCCGATGCTGCTGCTCAAGCTATTGAAGCTCTAAATGGTAAGAAATTTGGTGAAAAGGAATGGTACGTCCGGAAAGCTCAGAAAAAATCTGAGAGGGAGCAAGAACTGACAAGTCAAGTTCAGAATAACACAAGGGAAATAGTAGACAAATATCGAGGAGTTATTTTATATGTTAAAAATTTCGACGATAGCATAGATAATGACAAACTCAAGGAACTGTTTTCTGAGTTTGGTACTGTTGTTTCCTGCAAGGTATATTGGTGTGCTTGTCAAGCTTATGTTCCTATAATTACTTCTCTTTTCTTTTTTCTATTCATGGGACCAGTATTTCTTCAGCTCTTTTGTTATTTGTTTTCACTGTTTGTAGATACTGCGAGTTCCTAGTCGTGTAAGCAGAGGATCTGGACTTGTTGCATTCACAACTCCTGAAGAAGCTTCTCGAGCAGTAAGTTGACACCGTAGGTGATACTTTTGTTTCTTGACATTTTATTAAGACATACTGATTGAGGTTTTATCTATTTTTTATGTTTCAGCTTTCTGAAATGAATGGGAAAATGTTGATCAGTAAGCAACTCTATGTTGCCCTTGCTGATGTAGAACAAGTGGCGTTAGAGTTTAAAGAAGAATTGATCCGAAAATTGGCAAAACTAGCTGTTTCGAATAAACGGGCATAACTTTTTGCACCAGTGTCCGAATTTATATTATAACATGTTTTCGGAAACGTCTCGTAGCGCTCTACAATGTACCAACCCGGGTTCCCCAGTTGACGTCATTTTCAACCTCAAATTTGAAGTTTAAGGCAATCTACAAGGAAATTGAATTTTTTTTTTTTTTTTTTTTGCGTTTTTAATTGTTTTAATTAAGTGGATGTCTATTTTGATCTTTTTGCTTAAATTAGGATTTTTAAAGACTATTTAAAGGCTCTTTGTTATTCTGAATAATAAAATTCCGTTTTTGAAGTTATTTTCTTGAAATTTACAATTTTCTTTTGTTGGGGATTACGCTGGTAAACCCTAGCACTTCCGTTTTGCGTCAAGTGGTATCAGAGCGAAGGATTTGCCTTGTTTGATGGCCAACAACAAAGCCGAAAGAGTGAACCCTCATCACGCTGGTCGCAAGGAAGGGGATGCAGATCTGTGGGCGGCAATTGACGAGCAGCGACAAACAATGGAGAGGTTGGAGGGCATGCTACAGCAATTGTTGCGGTGGCAACCCAATCCCAACTATCTGCTGTCAACGCTCCTGCCCCTGCCAACCGAGATGGAGTTGAGGGAGTTGCCCTTGGCCGTCATGGAGGTGGACGTCCACCTAGAGCAGCAAGGCACGTACAGTTAGATGATTTTAGCGATGAAGAATCTGAGGATGATTTTGCGGGATATCCAGGGAACCATCAACACATCCAAAATCATCCCGATTACGAAATTCGTGCAGACATCCCGTTGTTCGATGGAAAATTACAGATTAAGGAGTTCTTGGACTGGATTTCTTAAGTTGAGAGATTTTTCTAATTTACTGAATTCACAGAAGAGCGACAAGTGAAGCTGGTGTCGTATAAGTTGAGAAGCGGGGCTGTTGTCTGGTGGGAAAAATTAAAGATGGATAGGAAGAGCCAAGGCAAGACTCCTGTGCGATCCTAGAGGCGGATGAAACAGCTTATGATGAACATGTTTTTACCTCCAGATTATGAGCAATTTATTTTCCACAGTTTTTAGAACTATGTACATGGCAACAAATCTGTGGCAGATTATACTAAGGAATGGTCTAGGCTGTCTGTTCGAAACAACTTGAACGAGATTGAGGGACAACAAGTTTCCAGATATTTNTTTGATCTTTTTGCTTAAATTAGGGGTTTTAAAGACTATTTAAAGGCTCTTTGTTATTCTGAATAATAAAATTCCCTTTTTGAAGTTATTTTCTTGAAATTTACAATTTTCTTTTGTTGGGGATTACGTTGGTAAACCTAGCACTTCCGTTTTGCGTCAAGTGGTATCAGAGCGAAGGATTTGCCTTGTTTGATGGCCAACAACAAAGCCGAAAGAGTGAACCCTCGTCACGCTGGTTGCAAGGAAGGGGATGCAGATCTGTGGGCGGCAATTGACGAGCATCGACAAACAATGGAGAGGTTGGAGGGCATGCTACAGCAATTGTTGCGGTGGCAACCCAATCCCAACGTATCTGCTGTCAACGCTCCTGCCCCTGCCAACCGAGATGGAGTTGAGGGAGTTGCCCTTGGCCGTCATGGAGGTGGACGTCCACCTAGAGCAGCGAGGCACGTACAGTTAGAGGATTTTAGCGATGAAGAATCTGAGGATGATTTTGCGGGATATCCAGGGAACCATCAACAGATCCAAAATCATCCCGATTACGAAATTCGTACAGACATCCCGTTGTTCCATGGAAAATTACAGATTAAGGAGTTCTTGGACTGGATTTCTGAAGTTGAGAGATTTTTCTAATTTACTGAATTCACAGAAGAGCGACAAGTGAAGCTGATGTCGTATAAGTTGAGAAGCGGGGCTGTTGTCTGGTGGGAAAAATTACAGATGGATAGGAAGCGCCAAGGCAAGACTCCTGTGCGATCCTAGAGGCGGATGAAACAGCTTATGATGAACATGTTTTTACCTCCAGATTATGAGCAATTTATTTTCCACAGTTTTTAGAACTGTGTACATGGCAACAAATCTGTGGCAGATTATACTAAGGAATGGTCTAGGCTGTCTGTTCGAAACAACTTGAACGAGATTATCCCTGTTGTTCAAAGGTCTATAAAGGGAGGGATTGAAGCCTTCCATTCGAGACAAAATTGGCTTGTAGGTGGTTTGGACGGTGGATGAAGCACATAAAATGGCTTTGAAGGCGGAGTTAATGGAGAAAATGCCCCATCGTTTTTCCAATTATAAGAGAGACATGGGTGAGTCATCTATACAACTGTGAACAGAGGCCGATTTTCACTGGCGAAGGTCAGAATCAGCCTAAGAACATTGAGAATCAGACCCAAAGGAATACAGTTGCTGGTAATAACCATATAGGAGCCCGTCCGACAACCACTGCTGCAAAAGAAGCACCACAGGCACCAAATCCATATACTAAAACAGGTGGTTTAAAGTGTTACATGCGATTCTAATCACAGCTTCAAAATCACAATACATAAATTAAAATCTACTTTTTCAATGTAAAATCGACGTGTGTGTGAAGAATTAAGTATCGCATTATGAATTTATAAGTTGTTTCAATTCCCGATTCTCAATGGTCAAATATATTTTTTCATCACTCGTAAGATTCACACTCCCCCAAACTTATTCTTTTCACTATTTTCACGTGTGTGAGCTAAGGTTGAATTTTATAGTATCCTCACCTCTCTAGTTTAGGTAAATCTTACTAATTGCTAGTCAATATGACAATAAATAGGGATTCTCCATAGTTTGTTTGCTTCAATCTCTAGGATTTAACTTAATTAATAATCCCTTATCAAAAGTCAAATTTTCTCAAATAAGTGTTTGAGACATAATCAAGGCATTTGGTGCGTCTTTCATACACCTGCTTTTTCTAATTTTTAACTTTTTTTTATTTGAAGCATTCTCACACTTAAGCTTTCTAAATGACAACTTTTCGGCCGATGACTCCCAAGTCAGATGACCATAGGGCACTAGGTTTTAGAAACCCTTCTAGGCTTAATTGTTCGAGTCATAAAAGTTACGAAGAGAAATTTTTCAAATAGAATAATAATGTTTTTTTTATACCTTGATTAGTGCAATGTCCCTCATTAAACACCAATTTAAGAAAAACATCTAACTTGAGATTTTCACTCAATTTCATCCTATAGACCTTAGACAATCCACACAATATTTTTTTTTACACATGGAATCCCCATTTATCTCAATATCTTCCCACAACAGTGAAATCTCCCAAAATATTCTAAATTTGGTCCAAAGATGTAAAAATTTTGTGGTTTTGGGTTTAATATCTATGGTCCACTATTTCAACATATCCAATTATTAATTCAACTCATTCATACACAATACTTAACTTAATTCTATGCTCAACATATATCAAATTTTACATGAAAAAGACTGGTAGAACATCCGATGCTGCGGGTTGAAAAAAATCCAAAGCCGTATGTGATTGGGTGGATTCAGAATGGTCCTAAGGTGATGGTGACTGAGGTATGCAGGGTTCCTGTTTCAAATGGGCAACACTATCGAGATGAGATGGTCTGTGATGTGGTTGACATGGATGCTAGCCATGTATTATTGGGACGCCCTTGGCAGTTTGACGTGGATGTAACCTATAAGGGATGCGACAATGTTTATGTTTTCAATTGGGAAGGTAGGAAAATAGCAATGGTTCCGAGACGAAGTTCAGTTGGCTTAAATAAGGCTGCAGCAGGAAATCAGTCTTTGCTCTCCCTAGTGACTTCAATACCTGAGTTGGAATCCGGGGTTAAAGAATCACAGGAAATACATGTGGTAGTGCGAGCGCTGGTGGTAGAAGGGAAATAGGAGCAGGAAGTTGTGGTACCCGAAAAGGTGCAGAACCTCTTGGTCGAATTCAGTGAGTTGGTGTCAGATGATTTGCCAAATGACCTTCCACTTTGAGAGACATTCAACACCATATTGATTTGGTTCCAGGAGAAAGTTTACCAAATCTTCCACATTATCGGATGAGTCCCAAGGAAAATCAGATTTTGCAGGAAAAGGTAGATGAGTTAATGAAGAAAGGGTTTATTAGAGAGAGCATGAGTCGATGTGCTGTTCCTGCGTTACTAGTTCCAAAGAAAGATGGGAGTTGAAGGATGTGTGTTGATAGTTGCGCAATAAATAAGATAACAGTCAGATACAGCTTTCCAATTCCACGATTGGAAGACATGCTAGATATGTTGGAGGGTTCGAGGGTGTTCTCCAAAATTGATCTGCAAAGTAGCTACCATCATATTTTGGTGAAACCGGGTGATGAATGGAAACCGACTTTCAACATGAAGGATGGACTCTATGAGTTGTTGGTGATGCCTTTCGGACTATCA